ATTTCGTCCATTATAATATTAAAGAAAGGTGAGCTCAACAAGTCACCCTGTCTAACTTCGCTTTGTACTGGTATACACTGTGTTAGTTTTCCATTTATCTTTGCCTGTATTCGATTATGGAGGTAGATGTTTTCGATGGTTTGTATAATATTGATTGGTATATTTATTTTATACAGTAGGTGTAAGACGTCTTTGACCTGGATGCGATCGAAAGCCTCTGTCAGGTCTATAAAACATAGATATGCTAAAGATAAAAATCCATAGATAAAAATCCATAAAGATAACGTACCTCTTCGTCCCATTGTGACTACGATTAACTCTCCTACCTACAAACTCGCAAAGTACTTGTCCAATCAGTTTAAGACCTATACTGGTCGTACCTCTTCTTATGTCCGAAATTCCACACATTTCATCACCTTAATCTCCTTTCTCACAGTCGATCCCCAAGATATTCTCGTCAGTTTCGATGTATCATCCCTATTTACCAATATTCCCATACATGACTCTCTAGTTGTTCTGCGAGATCACTTGACCAATGATAACAAGTCTTTGGTTTTGGCAGACCTTGCCGAAAAATGCCTCCTTTCAACATATTTTTCTTTTAGAGGCAATTTCTACAAACAAATATCTGGAACACCAATGGGTTCTCCCCTTTCCCCTGTCATTGCTGACATTTTCATGGAAGCCTTTGAGTCTTTAGCCCTAGAATCTTACCCCTTAAAACCAAAAGTCTGGTTCCGCTACGTTGATGATACATTTATCATCTGGCCCCATGGTCAGCATACCCTTTCTTCCTTCCTAGATCATCTTAACTCACAACATCCGAGTATAAAATTCACAATGGAAGTAGAAAATAATCGGTCCCTTCCCTTTCTCGATGTGTTAGTCACCTCCAAGCCCAATGGCCGATTGGGTCACTCTGTTTATAGAAAAAAGACTCACACGAATCGTTACCTACATGCTTCATCACACCACCATCCTGCCCAAAAGAATTCTGTGATCAACTCTCTCATCCATCGGGCCATTTCGATTTCTGAACCCGACAACCTTAGAGAAGAACTTGGCCATCTGCAAAAAACCCTTGTCGCCAATGGTTACTCCAAGTCCACAATTCAAAATATTACACACCGACATCTACATCCCCCTTTACACCCTAGGACAACAAATTCAGAATCTTCGGGTAATACTCCTGTGGCTTTTCTTCCGTATATTCGAAATGTCACTGATAGGATTGGCAAAATTCTTCGCAAAGAAGGTATCAGGACTACTTTTCGACCACCCAAGAAAATCTCACAATATCTACCCTCTCCTAAGGACCCATTACCGCCCCTATCTTCCTGTGGTGTCTATTCTATTCCTTGTTCATGTGGACATGTGTATATTGGCGAAACTGGTCGTTCCGTCAAAACTCGGATTCAAGAGCATCAAAGATGCATTCGATCAGGTCTTTTCTCCCATTCTGCAGTTGCCGAACACTGCCAAGAAACCGGTCATTCCATATTGTTCGAAAAAACCCATATTATTTCTAAGAGCCCCTTCTTTTATTCCAGGAAAATCCGCGAATCTCTAGAGATCCGAAAAAATCCCCATAATATCAATCGAGAGGAAGGATACTACTTGTCTCCCATCTGGAATCTCAGTCTAGAGCCACCATCCGGTCCCGCCACCACATGATTGGCCAGCGCGCGCTTCTTGACGTTCGCGCCACGAAGGGTGCCGATACGTCCCGACACGACAGGCACCGCGACTATAAATAGAGCGGTAGCGGAGTAATCGTCGGATTCACTCCCCGCCTCTCGACGCGTTAGTGTTCTGAGCTGTTGGACGTGAATCCCTGTCCTGGCATTTGGTTTTCACCTCTGGCTGCGTTGAGTAGTTGAATTACTGTGACCAAATGCCCATCTTGGTAGTTAGTATTCGCCTCTGGTTGCGTTGAGTAACTGAGTTACCGTTGCTAACTACCCATCTTCCTGTTCTTTTGTTTTCTTTTTTCTTTTTCTTTGTTTCTCCTGAAGAAGCTACATATAATTGTAGCGAAACGTCGAGATGAACCCACTTTTGGGTCACTCACAAATGACACGGTCCAAACCCGGAAGACGAATAAACTATAATAGATATGCTAGTTTATTTTACTCGATGGACTTTTCTGTGATTTGTCTTACTACAAATACGGCGTCTACGCAGGATCTTTCGGATCTGAATCCTTGTTTTTCATCTAATAAAGTTGTTAGTCTATTGATGTTATTGGTTAGAACTTTTGTGGTAAGCTTAAGTGCGGTGTTCAGTAGATTTAATACCTCTATAATTGTTGGGGTCTTCTTTATTTCCTTTCTTGAACATTGGTATCATTATGCTGTTTCTCCATACGTCTGGTATCTTGCAGTGCAAAATTAGTTTTTGTAGAAGTTTTGTCATCTCTAGGGTAATACTTTCTCCTACGTATTTTATAAGCTCGTTGGTTATTCCGTCTGATCCTGGTGACTTTTTTGAGAAGTAGGCCTAGATGAAGGGATGGTGTAGATGAAGATGGTAGAAAAGTAGGCGCAGCAAACTGGCAACAGTTGACAATGGATAGAACTGACTGGCGAAATAGACTTGGGAAGGTCGAGGTTCTTTTATAATGCTTTAGCACCAATGATAATAATGCATTTAATGCATGTTTTTACATAAGTACATAAAAAAAAACTTAAAAATGCATTCGAATACAAATCATTAACGCATAAGCTAACTAAGTATCTTTTTTTAAAATCTGATGTAGTACTTGTAAAAAAAACATAAAGTTCAGTATTATACCCTCTGCTCATTTATGTCAGCTGGTCATACGTCTTTACTACTACTATGTTTATTTTTTGTTCTTCTTGTTCTAATGGGTCATTCAACGTCAAACCGTATGAAGTAAAACTAATGAATGTCACAAATTTATTTCTTCGAATAACATTTTGATCATTGCCAAAATATATCGATTCCACTAATATTGAGCATAGCAAAAAATACCACACTGTGTCAACAACATTTCTAGCTACGTTGTATGATGCACAAAATTTATCTGTTGTGTCAATTTCGTCTTTGGTGGGATTGTAAAATGTGATGGTATGTGGCTTTATTTTATCTCCTGTTTTAAGATTAATAGAGCCATCTTCATGTAGACTGGAAGCCAAAATTATACATTTTTAAAGGCAAACAAGCTACTACTATTAGGTCTTGTCTTATTTGAAAGGAAAACGTGCCAGCGTAAAAAATGTTTTTACATCGTAACTCATCTATTAATGGAATACTGGTGAACCAGTTATTAGCAGTAATATTTCGTACTGTCTTGTAAACAGTTTGGAAAACCCCTAGAACAACATCCGACAGTGAATTGCTCAATCGAAATTGGTCTTCGGATTGTGATCCTGCATATATTTAAAAATTATATAGATAATAAACCTGGGAATCCACAAGTGCGTAGATTTTCAGACCATATTAATTAGGTTTATTCGATATGTATTGCACAAAACCACATCGTCCACTAAAGCCTTTCAATTTTTAAATTGAAAGGATTTTTAAACTATAGAATTTCTGCGAATTGTTAGCTAACATAGTAAAAATGTCACAAATTACTGCAATTCAATATTTTGATATTTATGACCAGTCAAAATTTTTTAATACCATCCCTGTCGGATCCCCACAGACAGGTCTTCCAGACTCTGTTTGTTATTTCTGTGAACACCAGCAAAGTATAAGAGATCTATAAATGCTTCCAGTTCAACAATATCTATAGGCTTGGTACCTCTAGGAGCGATTTAATACTTTCAATATATTGGTTTGTCTATTGTACAATTTATTAAACTTAATACTTCGTCATCCATTATGCAACGCCAGCATTTTAAAAAAGTTTTTGCCATTCTCGCAGCACCCATTAAGTACACCTGGTAGATTTCGAATAATATTATGTTGTTTTAAATGAACTCTTTGTGACGGGGGATTTTTTCCCTTTTGTTTTTTCCAAGAGCTTCTTTCCTTTAATTTTCTCCCTTCCAAACAAAGTTGTTATCGTCTGTGTTAGATCATCGCAATCATCATTGTAATTAGCTTCTTGCTCGGTATCTAAATCGACGTCACGAGGTTCGACTTTATATTCAGCATCAGTATCCTCTTCATCATCAAAATCGTCCTGTCAATCACCTTCGTCGTCGTCAAATATTAATATTTGTAGTTCTTCATCATCTTTAAGATCCTTCGTTATATTTTTTACTACAACATGCCATGATAAACGTATTTCAGACTTAAAACAAATATAAATTTGTTAACTTACAAAAAAATCTTCAAATAGGCGTAGTGAATCAGTTTGATGGTTATAAAGTAAGTGTAACTGTAATTAAAAAAGGAGTAGTCCTAGTACTAGGAAGAAATAGTACTTACCAACCTAATAAGTGTCACAAATTTACAAAATTAATTTTGTCACACTAATAGGCGCGGTGTATCAAAATAAATAATATTCCAATATCTTTGTTTTAGCAAAGAATATTTACGATCACGTTTTATAGAATAATGAAAGGTAGGAAGCTACTGATGACGATCATTCCCGACTGTTATTGAACTGAATATTTATGTTGTATCAGTTTGAACAGTCACGCCCGACAGAAGGTTAAATACTGCATACGCCACTAAAACTAATAACAACTACAGCTTATTGTTAATAATTTTTAAAAGTAGTAGCTAATTCTTAAATTAAAAAATAAAATAAACTTTTGTTCACTCCGTAGAAATAATAACTGAGGTATTAAAAGAGTTACATTTCTATTTTTAAAAATTAACAATTACGTTTTTACGTCGAAACTAGTGAGGACACCATGTTCGCATATTATTTAAAAAATCATCATTTAAAATTAAAAATCGATTTATTTTAGCATTTTTGTAAATAAAAAGTAAATTATTTGCAAAATATTGATTTTTTTTAGAATTTAGCTGTTCACTGTATATCTAGTTACTAACTCCTATTATTGTACTCTTGTTTAAAGGTTCAGAGTCCTGACCAGTTGCAGTACGACTTTCAACCTATTCTAGCTGCACAAGCCAGACAGGCCTTTCAAGTAGCCCAACAAAAAAAGTATGTCAGTGAACCACAACACTATCAAACAGAACAATATCAAACACAGCCTCAACAATACGTAGTGGAGAAACCGCAAGTCCGATACGTAACAAACCAAGTTCCTGTAAAACAAAGACCACAGCAACTAAAACAGAGAGAAGAAGAGGATTATGATGTAAGTTGAATATATTAGGTATATTTAATACTTTTAAACATTAAAAGGGACAAACAGGTATTTTCTGTTACAGCTGGATTATATCTATTTTAGGATACAATTTTTAAGATGCATTTCTCCACGAAATATTACATGTGTTAAAAATGTTTAGACTGATGCTGTTTAGTTAAATTGATTAAGGTAATTTCAATTACAAATAAAATTTGGTTTCCACGTTCACAAAAATAAACAGAATAATTTAATTTTGACGTTAAGAGTTATAACGAATTAACAAAAATAAACAAAATAATTCAATTTTGACGTTACGGATTATACCGTTGTGTAGGATGTAAGTTAAATCTTATTAGAATTTCACGTAATAATACAAAAAAACAAATCACTTAAACTAAACTATATTGAAGTCAAAAGGCACATGTAAAATATGTTGTAAACAATAAATTTAAAAATAGCGTCCTAAGCGTAATGATGTTCTGTGCTGAGACTCGGGTGTGGACTGTGTCTCTCTTCTCCTCGTCACTACCGGCATCCCCTCTCGAGGGTTGTAAAATGAACGTCGGGTTGTACTTAACTAAAGTGTAGTATACGGGGTTGCTCGAAAGTTTTAACATAAGCCGCCTCCCTTGAACGCCTGCAGGGGTTCAACAAGTAATAAAGCTGAGTTAAAAGTTTCTTTCACTAAAGCTTAAGCCACTGATCTGTGGGTAGAACGCACAACTTTGTCACTGGTCGCTTGAAACAACCTCTGTTATTTTTAATTGTCACTGCACGAACTATTCCGTCACTACCCGCATGTAATTGAGTCACTCTACCCAGGCACTATCTTAAGGGTTCAGTTCCATCTTCCTTCACCGTCACTAGACTTCCAATTTTGAGAAGACTGTTGAAATGTTTTTTCCACTTAACTCGCTGCTGGAGAGACGAAATGTATTTCTTGGACGACCTAGTCCAATAACCTTGGATCATTTTTTGAAGCCTTTGGAATCTGCTAAGGCTGTTTTCCTTGACATCTAAGAAGTTCCGTTCAGGTATTGCGGTCAATGTGGATCCAATTAAAAAGTGTACAGGAGTAAGAGGAAGTGAGTCGGAAGGGTCGTTGGACATTGGTGAGAGTGGTCGTGAGTTTAGACACGCTTCAATTTGACATAAAACAGTGGAAAATTCTTCATATGAGAGAATTGTATTGCCAATGACGCGCTTTAGGTGAAATTTGACAGATTTTACTCCCGCCTCCCAAACTCCTCCAAAGTGAGGTAATCTTGCCGGTATAAACTGCCAGTTAATACCTTCGGTAGTTAAATTGTCCCTAATAGTTGAACTTTAGGTATTAAAAAATTTGACAAGCTCATTTTTTGCGCCAACGAAGGTACTACCATTGTCCGAAAGGATCTAAGCGCATTTTCCGCGTCGAGAAATAAAGAGTTTTAGCGTCGCTAGAAAACTTTCAGTGGTCAAGCTGCTCACGACTTCCAAATGTATGGCCTTAATTGCTGAACAGAAAAATAAAGCTATGTACCCCTTAATAGTTTTATAATTTCGGGTGTGTGATCCTTTAGAAGAAAAGGTCCTGCATAATCAAGTCCGCAGTTGTAGAATGGCCTAGAGGAAACAAGACAAGACGTGACGAGGGTAAATTACCCATAAGATAGGTTTCTAATTTAGGAGCCACCCTACAACAAATAATACAATCGCGAACGATTTTGCGAACCACTTGACGTCCATTAATGGGCCAAACTTTTTCACGAATGGAAGCTAATAGTAATTGAGGACCGCAATGATTTAAATTAAGATGCTCATTTCGTACAAGAATAGTAGTAAAGTGGTGTTTAGAATCAAGGACAATGGGATGTTTTTTATCGTAACAAAAATCAGAATTATGTAGTCTTCCGCCAAGGCGGAGTACGTTATCCTTATCGATAAACGGATTGAGGGTAAGTAGTTTACTTTTAGAGTTAACGTTACCATGTCTTTTAAGGTGTGTCAAATCGTCATAAAATGTTTCATTTTGTTTCAGTCGAATAATATATTTTAAAGCATTATCTATTTCCTCACAAGAAAGGTTGTCGAAACTCCTTTGTTTAGGAGAAAATTTACAATTATTCATAAAGCGTAATACATAAGCAATAATGCGTTGTAGTTTCTGGCTTAACTAGCCATGATAAGCCATGAAACCACATTTCAGAAGTGATAAGTGATGTAGGAGAAATTTTCCTTTGGAAAAAGATCTGCGGGATTCTCAAGTGTATTCACATAACGCCATGTGTGAGATTCGGTCAAAGTTTGAATTTGAAAAATTCTATTTGCCACAAACGTCTTTAATAAACTCGGAGCAGTCTTTATCCATCCTAGAACAATAGTGGAGTAGCACCAGTAAGTGATTTCTTTGAAATCTAATTGCATGTGTTGTTTTACCTTGTCTATCAACTTAGCTAGCAAGTAAGCTCCCCAAAGTTCTAGGCGTGGTACTGTGAGGATGTGTTTTAAAGGAGCTACTCTAGTTTTGGAGCAAAATAGATGACAATGAAAATTTTCAAAGTTTTCAGATGAACGAATATAAATGCAAGCACCATATGCGGTATTCGATGCATCTGAAAAACCGTGTAGTTGAATTGATTTGTAGTTTGTACAAATTACATGCCTAGGAATTTGTAGCTGATTAAGTTTAACCAGTTGAGTCTGATATGTAACCCATTTCGTAAATATATTTATGGAAACGACTTCATCCCAAGAAATTTTTAGTTTCCACAAATCTTGTAGAATAATTTTAGCTGTTATAGTTACAGCCGAAAGCAAACCTAGTGGATCAAATATTTTTGATATAGTGAAAAGAATAAGTCTCTTTGTAACTTTACACTTGTGCTCTATAGGTTGAACATTGAAATGAAAAGTGTCAGATTTTGGACTCCACAATATGCCCAAAGTTTTGGTAGTATTGTCAGCTCCAATTTCGAAGGAAACAATATTTTGATTATCAAAGTTTAAAATAGGTGCGTTTGACTTCCATTTTCTCAATTGAAAACCATCACGAGACAATAAGTCGGAAGTAAGTGATTGAATACGTTTGATATCTTCTATTGTAGAACCACCTGTGTGAAGATCGTCGACATAAAATTTCCGTAAAATTATAGAAGTAATGTCGGGAAAATCAGTTGCATACATATGTGCCACTTCTTGAAGACATCTAGTGGCAAGAAAACTAGCAGAAGCAGTGCCATAAGTAACGGTGTTTAAAGTATAAGTTTCGAGAGAGTTTGTATGATCAGATCGCCATATGATCTTTTGTAAGGGGCGTTCTTTATTTAGTTACCACAAAACTAGACAATTCCACACACAAAGAATGGGAACTGTCAATTAAAGACGACAAGAATACATTAACCACTTTGAGTAGCTTAACTGAATTTCTAAAAGGGAAATGTAGAGTCTTAGACTCTATTAATCATCAAGAAGCAAACTCTCGTCCCAAGTTTTTATCAACAGGCCATCCCAAGTCCAAGAATTTCTTGTCAAAGAATAATTCTTACAACTGTTCTTTATGCAAACAAAAACATCTAATTTACACTTGTCCTGATTTTCTTAAACTAGAAACGCCATTAAGACATAATGAAGCAAAACGCTTGCGACTTTGTATAAATTGTCTGCGTAGTGGTCATTTCACTTAGGAATTCAAATCTTCCGGGTGTCGTAAATATGGAAAAATACACCACACAGTTTTACACTTTCAAGGTAACTCACAAAAGCTATTTGAAACCAGTAATCAAACCATCAGCAGTTTACCTTGCTCTAGTCCAGGTACATCAGAAGGGTCTAATGCACTGACAGCACGTAACATTTCGTTTGAGCACAACTCTACTACTTTGCTGTCAACTGTTAAAATAAACGTCTTTGACATCTCAGGTAACGAATACGAGGCTCGTGCACTTGTAGATAACGGCTCGGAAAGTAATTTCATTTCTCAGCGCCTATTAAATCTTCTAATGTTGCCTACAACCAAAACACATTTTTCTATTTTTGGTATAAACCAAACAAATTCTATTGTAAGCTACAGAACATCGGTCAAATTTAAGTCCAAAACTTTAAACTTTTCTTAAGTAATTTCTTGCTTAGTACTTCCGGAAATTGCAGGAAATTCACCTTCTGTCGCATTCGATAAGAGAACACTTAATATTCCTTCTAATATTACTTTGGCCGATCCAGACTTTAATATTTCATCCCCTATTGATCTTCTTATCGGTGATGACATCTTCTGGAATTTAGTTTGTATTGGCCATATTAAAGTATCACCTGGACATCCGATTCTTCAAAAAACCCATCTTGGATGGATTATCTCAGGTCCATTATTTCCAAACAAAACCCTTGCAGACAAATCTTCATGTCATTTGTCGACCATAAACAAGTTGAGCATTGAAGATCAACTTCAAAAATTTTGGGAACTTGAAGAATGCCCAAGAACAAAATTTTTGTTTAACGAAGAACTTTCTTGTGAAGGTCACCTCTTAAAAACAACCTATCTTAAGTCTTCTGGTAGGTTTGTAGTATCACTTCCCTTAAAATCTTCCGTCGACAATCTAGGCGACTCTAAGACTACAGCAAGAAAAAGGTTTTAATCTCTCGAAAGGAAGCTTAATGCGAATTTTCAATTACAAGGTGATTACACTCGATTTATCGATGAATATTTATCCTTACACCATATGTCCGTTTCACCCTTTGAAACCACAGGCTATGAGTTCTTTCTTTCTCATCATTTTATCTATAAAAGCAATAAAATTTGTGTTGTTTTTGACGGTTCTGCCAATACAGATTTAGGTGTTTCCCTGAACGACATTTTATGGTTGGACCTAATTTACAAAATGATCTTTTTACTATCATCTCACGTTTTCGTAATTTTGTACTAATAGCTGACATAGAAAAGATGTATCGACAAATACTGATAAAGGAGGAAGAACGCTCCTTACAAAAGATCATATGGCGATCTGATCATACAAGAGACTGGTGTGGGAGGAAGT